ATATATATATATTATGCTTGCTTTTGTTCTTTTGTATTATTGAATAAAGGTTGGAACTTAATAATTTAAATAATTGAATATTTTAATTTAATTTCTAACACTTGGATGTGTTTGCAACTCGTGTGCTCTCTAAATAATAATATTAATTATAACACTAATTCATCCATTATCTATACACCGCTTAATCCTCACTAGGGTTACAGGGCTGGAGTCTATCCCAGCTGACAGGGCGAAGGCAGGGGACACCTGGACAGGTAACCAGTCTATCACAGGGCTACATTTAGAGACAGACAACCAAGCACACTCACATTCACACCTACGGACAATTTAGAATCACCAATTAACCTCAACATGGTTTTGGACTGTGAGGGAGGAAGTCGGAGAACTCTGAGAGAACCCACACTGCACAGGAGAACATGCAAACTCCACGCAGAAAGATCCCAGGCTGGGATGCGAACCAGGGATCTTCTATTCTATCATCATCATCATCATCATCATCAATATTATTGTTATTTATAGAGCACACAAGCTGAAAACACATCCAAGTGTGATAATTATATCCAAATTTAAACTATTATGGACAGAAATAAAAAATAAAACACAATTTAATCAGGAAGGCTCTCCGATAAAAGTGTACTGTAAGAAGAGACTTAACAGAGGGTCACTGACCCAGTCAACCTGATTTCTTCGGGCAGATCCTCCCAGAGCCTCGGGGTCCTGACTGCAAATGATCTGTCCCCTTTAATTGTCAAACAAAATACCTCTGCCTGAGAAGCTCAAAGGAGAGAGGCCATGAAGGGAGTTAAGAGTTAGCAGTAAAATCTTTGAATCAATCCTAAACCAAACTGAGAGCCAGTGTAAAACAGGAGGGATGTTTGTTCTGGTTATAAGTCTGGCAGCAGAGTTCTGTTCAGTCTCAGGTCAATGGAAACGTTTGTGGTTCAGGCAGATGAAAAGTCTGTTTTAGTGATAAAAGTGTAGTTAAATAAAAGTGTGTAAAATGGTTTCTGTGTCTTTTAAAGTTTAACCATGTCTGTGTAGACTCTCAGTCATCCGGATCATGTTAATCCGAGAAACAACAGCTAAAGCAACGAGACTCCTCTTTTAGGTTTCTGAAGACGGTTCCCATCTCATCCAAGAAGCTTCTTCAGTTCAGAACTGCAGCATCTTAAAAAAACCTAAAGTAGCCCAGCTGCTTTTAACTGAGGCTTCTCGGAAGAGTAAAGACAGACTTATCTTTGTAATGTTTCTAAGATGATAAAAACAAGCTCTGTGGTGTTCTGCTTAAGATTCTGATTACTGTCAGAACCACACAGCGAGACTGTTCACGNCCTGAGCTGGGGATGTCTCGGGCTGTTAGCATTGAAAGACTGTGTATCACAGCGGGCCTCTAATTTCCCCGACTATTGCTCTCTGAAGAAAAATCGCTTTTGACCAACTTCTATCTGCTCCAGTGAAAAAAAGGCAATATTCCAAAGCTGAAATGGAAAATATGTTCTACATATAATGCACGCTTATGCACAGACCGCAAACAGAAATTGTGCAAGTAATATAATATGACTCCAAAGTCTTTTTTTTTTTTCTTTCTTCTATCCTGATCCTGAAATACCCAGATTGTTTTTTCAGGGCATTGTGAGAAAGACCTTCCTCGAGTCACTCTTCCTTGCTCGCTGATGTTTAATTCAGAACTATATCATACAGAATCCCTTTACAGGTGCTCGCAGGGTTCTGGAAACCTGAACCACAGCAGGGGTCCTCATGACACAATGCAACAGAATAAAATCTAAAGTAAACTGCTGCTTGCATTTGTTTTGGTCACAGTAACTGAACACAGGCAGACTAAATGCACCGGACGCATCGAAACCGTATCCAACGACGCACTAATGCTCAGAAAATGCACACACTAAACCTCCACGCATGTGCACAATCATCCGGACGTAATTGCTCACACACGTGCTGCAAATTAGAAACATGTATACATTATTTATCATGATGACATAGTCTAATCCAAACTCTGATTGTCCCGCAAATATTCTGTTTGCAATTTCAGCGCTATCACGTACGAAAAAAATGATTCATGCCACGTTTTGGTGAGTCTTTTTCTTCTCTTGTTTTTCACAGACGCAGTGGACTATACTTCAACCAAATGTGACAGGTGAGTGTAGTTACTCATTCCTCCATCCAGTCAGTTGTTTGCACTTTTCAACCTGAAAACTAACACCACTTATAATCTCACTTGGCGGTTATTGTTGAAACCGAACCGCCAGCTTTAATTCGTCTGTATTATTCTGGCTTCACATCAAGACGAGGTGATTTTATTCGGGTTAATTTAGGTCAGACGTTCGGCGACCCACTTCTCATGTGGCTGTTTCTGTTTAATAAAACCGACAGGGACCAGCAGCAGGACCGAGGCCCGCAGAGACGAGGCGACCAGGGCTGGAGGGAGATCCACGCCGCCGTGGCTCTGACCAGCTTGGCCCAGGGGCAGAGCAGCGCCTCGGGGCCCGGCGCCGCCGCCGCCACGGTGCTGCAGAGCCGAGAGCCCTTCTCCGTCTCCAGGACCGCTATCACAGACAGGATGTGTGTCACGGGGCCAACCCTCACGAGCCGCATCATCCAGAAATCCTCTCACATCTCTGAGGTCCAGACTGTCAAAGTCGCCCTGGCAAACAGCGTGTAGACCGGGAAACACGCCACCAGACGCCCAAGTGCCTTGCAACATATGTACAGCCCCTGAGACCATTGGTTTTTTAATTTCTGACAAGCATTTTTAATCATTTTTACATTGTAAAATAGAAACACTAACCTAACGCCGTTGAATTTTGTCCACTGTTTTTTGCTCTGTTCCTTCATGTCTTCCTATTGCTCTCTGTTGCAGTAAGTTATATTAACTTCCAGGAGACTGGATCATCATCCAACGCTAAAGTCTGACAGCAGCTATTTGAATAAACCCAATGTGAAATCTTCTGGCCGGTCGTCCGCCTTAAATCATTGGCTTTGCAGCGGCCCAGACTGCATAGTTAGGTTCTGGTGAACTGTACTTAGTGGTAGTTTTCATGTGTGCAGACGCGGGTCGCGCAGTTTCATTATATCCTTTCAAACTACATTTTAAAAGGTTGTAATGTGGGAAGAAGGGTGGCACAGTGAACTGAGCGGGGAGACGGTTACTCAGAGCGGAGGCTGAGGCGAAGCATCATCCGGCTGGCGGGCAGAGTTTAATATTTGTTGACTCAGCAGTGAGCCTGTAGACAAAATGGGTGAGGCTGTTAGAAAGTTAAAGCTGTTAGGATGAATAATTCTACAAAAACAATAAATCAGTTGACTGTTTGTAACTTGAGAGAGGTTGTTCATAGTGATCCCATAGATCAGGGGTGTCCAATCCTGGTCCTCGAGGGCCACAATCCTGCATGTGTTAGATGTTTCTATCTTCCAACACACCTGATTGAAATGATCAGCTCATCATCAAGCTCTGCAGAAGCCTGATAATAATCCTGATCATTTGAATCAGGTGTGTTGGAAGAGGGACACATCTAAAACATGCAGGATTGTGGCCCTCAAGGACCAGGATTGGACACCCCTGCCATAGGTACTAATCATCTCTTAGCAGCTCCCCTCAGCTTTGTGATGCTTTAAAGGGATTTGAACTCATTTGTTTTGATCATCAAGTAACTATAGGTTGACATATATGCCCAAAGGTATTAGAAAATCGGCTCATCATTTTGAACCTTGAGACTGTTAGCTTAGCTTAGCATAAACAGTGGTGGCAGGGGGGGAAACAGCAAGCTTAGCACTTTCCAAAAAGGTAAAATCATGAGCCTAACAACACTTCTAAACCGCACTAATTTACACTTCGCATCACATTTGCTTAATCTGTACAAAAAACAAAGTGTGAAAATTACAAGTTCAGAACGTTGCAGGTTAAAAACCGAATTGTTTTTGGCTGCTTTATGGCTGCAATATCAAGTAACTGTTTTTTTTATTCTGCTGTCCAGATCAACAGTTGATAGCTGGCAGATGAAGTTAGAAAGATAGGCAGTGTTGCAGCAGAAATTTGCATGTCAAAAAACACAATTTTAAAAATATATACAGGATATAATTTTAAAAAACGAAAAAAAAGTGGAGCCTTTATCCGCTAAACAGAACGGTATTTATTATAAACTAGCTTCGTCAAGCATCTCATCTGTTAAAATTAGGCAGATTTTCCTCTCATTTATTCTTAGCAAGTATTCTTCTGTCCTGGTTTTAATCACAATATGTTCACGTGTACATTATCCATAAAACTGAAGCAAAAAACTGATTCCACCCCTCCAACAGGAAAAATGCATGTTCTTGTGTTGAACACTAGGGGGCACACTTTGTTTCTAGTAAAGAATAACAGTCACCAAACACTGGATATGAGGCTTTAGATTGCTTATTAACACATACAAAAGGTTATACTTCTAAAATTAGCTCCTTAAATACGTTCCTCGAATTCCCAACTTGAATGTTTGCTCTTCAGGAAACCTTTAGGTGGCGTCACAGAGGAGTTCGTCCAACATGTTCCTCTTGAGCAGTTTTAATTTAAAACGTGGCTTTGCATTGCACACACCGGGCAACTTATTTATTTGCCGTTACCAAGTAAATCCAAGTAAAAAAAATTAAATATTTCATGAATTTTGCTGCCACGTCTAGATGCTAAAGAGTTTCTACGGATACATGCAGAGTGGAGCCCAAAACTAAGCAAAAAAAAGACCAAACGGCGTGACCTTTTATACGTTCAACCACCAGAAATGCGACTCCAAGTGCTTCATGTAAATCTTACGTTATCTAACAGCTACTCGTGTTCCAGTGTCCACTTAAAAATCAACTGTTTACAGATTCTTTCCACTGCCTCAAAGTGGCCCAAAACGTCGGCTAAAGTGTCAATAAGTTCCAGATGAAGCTGTCGACATACTGTCATGGAATAAAAAGGTGAATGTCTCTTAATAGACGCAATTCTTGTCCCACGAACAAAATCTCGATGACTTCTACGCCAAACCAGATCGCTGCAATTTTCTGACCTGAATATGAGGTCAACTGGTAAAAAAAAAAAAAAAAACTTTGTGTTCGGGAGAATTCCTGGTTCTGTATACCTAAAGACGGACTCATCCCCTTCCATCTGGGGACACCGAACCCAAGCTTGTCACTGCATACCAGAACTTTCTTACACAACATGATTAACGGGGTTTTTCCACGTGTCCCGGTTTCTCGTCTGTTTTTTTTTTTTTTTGACATTTCGTACGAAGAATGCTTTTCAGCCTTGCGTGTACAACAGGCGAGTCCCCAACAAAAGGATTATGGAAAGAGCGCCTCACTTCTGTTTCCACTGGTAACCTGCTTTTGATTAAGCGGGATTCGACACAACACGGAAACTTAATGGCAGCTCTCGGACGGCAATTAAACAATAGTTAAGACTCGAGTGACGGCATCTTGAGGTTGACGTTTATTTCAAGTTTGAAACAATTCAAACGTTAATCGACCATAACTCTCGCAAATGTCTTTCAATATTATTAAGGCAGATATCGATTTAACATATTGCTGCGTATGATTGAAACAGATGCACAGCAAAAGCAACAGGAAAAAAAAAAGAAATCAAAGGACAGCAAGGGGGGAAAAAAACAGGTTAAACAAGCAAATACAAACAATACATGAAATCGTAAATATACTGGAGATAGTAAGGAACAAAGCTTCTGGGAATGTTCTCGTACTACGTGTGAGAAATGCCTTTAATGAGTCGGTGAAACGTAAAATGGATCATAGCAGACAGGAAACTACAAAAAGTGAAAAAAACTATATAGATAACAGGGTCGAGTTGAGGCTGTTTACTTAAAAAGAGCAGAGCAAGAACAACTGTGAGCTCAAGTGAATAAAAGGGACATTTTTTTTTATTTATTTATTGCAAGAGCTCTTGATACTGTAAACCTTGCGGCTCTGGAAGAGATGGTCCAGATGCAAAGACTGGTTGGGTTGCAAGGAAACCCTACGACACAAAGATCATGACTGTTTTCTAAGCTGAGGAGACAAGAAGTCCATTTGAAAGCGCCTATACATTCTGAAGCGCAGAATTCGATGGAAATCACCATCAAACAAACAAGTCTAGTGTTGACCGTGAAGATCGACTCGGTGTCAGTAACTGGGGTCTGATGGGTAACGTCTTCTTTGGGAGTATTCACAGTGTTCTGGTGTGTAATGCAACCTGCGTTAACAACCCAAACTGTGCGGTGTGTGTTTCATAAAGCTTCCTATAGTGTGTATAGTAGGACATTTTGTACTTTGCAGTTATGTATGCCAAGAAAGCACAAAGAACGGAACAAGCTTTTTCCCTGTCAGAGAAAGGATTGAGGAGACTTTCACTATTGATTAGAATTAATTATTCTGAATAAAACTTGACAGGCTGTAACCTACAAATTGGTTTGTGTTAGAGGCACTATGCTAGTAACCTGATGTCTTAATGCACAACTGGACCACTCTCGCCAATGAGATAAATTTAAACCAGACATGTGCTCACGTATACTTGGCATGGTTGAGTGAATTTAAAACACTATACGCTCCTCAGACGAGAGGCTACGTCTTGCCTGATTCTTTCATTCATGTTTTTAACAGAAAGTAGTGACACGATACAGATGACGGTTGAAAAAGAAGTGTGCAAACAGCAATGATTTTGTTTTTTTCTCCACCGACAGAACTTACTCCCGCAATGAACTTATTAGAAGTGCTCATCCACCTGTCGCTCTCTTTCTGGTCCGTAGTCATTCCTATCAGGTTGGTGCTTCATTTTTTTTTTTCTTTGTTCAGTCCGTTTTCAGGGTATGGAGCAGTAACCTCCACATGCCCCGGCCCTGGCCTGCTCGTGATCCCCCAGACGGACCTTCTGACCCTGGGTTTCGCTCTCCCAAAGCCCTGGAGTCTGGAGGATCTTCTCCACAAGTTCCTCAAAGGCACACTGGACGCCGTCTTTGGTTTTTGCACTGGCCTCTGTACAAAAGAGGATTTACGGGATGAGTTTTTTTTTTNGTATAACTATCATTTGATCAGATTCTTGTTATATTTTTGGGGTGATGTGTGAAACTCGTTGATGTGTCTGGTTTGTTCTTGGATTATGTTGATGGGAAGAAATGACTTGCATTCTTTCCTCTACCATTATATTGTATTAATACCTCTCTCATCATGTTTTACTGTACTTGGAGACCAGACTTTTTTCCATCTCTACTTTCTTACATTCCCTTTAAAACCTACAAATACTGTTGTGGATCCAAGGCTGCATTCTTTCAGATGATAAAGATGCAATACACAATATGATAGACATGTAAAATGGTAAAAGTGAAGTAATGTGGTCACACTTGCTATGTTTAGTGATAAAACTCTGATGCACATCAGGCTTCCACACGATGTCCAAGAAAGTGAAGTAGCTCTGAGTAATCTGCCTGCAGGGTTGGTTGGCCCTAGAATTTTAAAACTGATTGTAATATTTACGTCTCAGGTGTATAAGTGATGATGTAGAAAACTGAAACTGTGCTTCCTCAGTCATGACCTCTGCAGGAGAGAACTGCATCGGGATCTCGTATTGACTTTGCCGCCGGCAGTCAAAAACAAACTGTGGGTCAGGAGATGTAGCTGTAATTAGATGGCAAGAGAAAGACAAAGCAACAGTCCCATGCAAGACTCACATGTCACATGAAGAAGATGGACTTTATGTGTCTGTGGAATCAGATCAAAACACAGATTTAACGCTGTAAAAAGACATGAATTAACAAGCAACACCAGGGCTTATAAATAGAAAGCATATCGTTACTGTCTAGCCAGATCGTCAGGTTAAATTTAACTGGGGCAACAAAAACGACTCAGATTCATTCAGTCAGATTCAACAAATACACACATATTTTTATTCTGTGTTATTCTTTCTGTTTCCAGTTTTCCCTCTTTCAGTCCTAAATTTACTTCTACAAGTCATTTGTGTTCAGTCACTTGGTTCATCCAAAGGAGTCATGCAGGCAGATTGTAGACCGACAGACTCAACAAATCAAGACAGTAATAAACAATAACAATGAATAGTGAGAATCCAAATTGTTCTACTGAGACTTACACCTGGTATGAATGGAACAAGTTTTTAAAATCAAACCTCGCAGAGAAGACTTGTCATCTCAGTTTAAAGTCACGGACTGCCAACTAATCACTGTTAACATTCAACGTTCGCCTTTTGTGTCTTGTTTGTGCGACAGTCACGAGTGTTAAATGTAATAACAGCATTTTATTTGCCTGCTTATTAGATTGGAAACTTGGTTCTGTCATATGTTGCTTAAAAAATCTAGATTTTTCATCATGTGTCTTCTTGATTGTCCAGGGAGCTCTCATTATCGTAGGAGTGCACAAAAATGTATGTTTAATAATTATACTGATATATTAAAGACACTGATAAAGGGATGTATGGAAACCTACAACAAAAACCTCCTGAAACAGGTCGGGATATTTTCCAATCAAACACATCTTTGTTCTGTGTCTTTGCTAAACTGCATCAATCCTCAAAGGCCCCTTTTTTCACCATTTATGTCTCCCAACCATGAAAAGGAATCCCCTGAGGGCTGAGCAATAAGAAACCACTAACTCCAGCAGGAAGTGTGATGGAACCAGTGAGCCACAGTACACCTACTATTCCTTAATGGGCTCATTGATGAGCCTTTCCTCAAACCACATCTGGCTGTGTTTGTTTCCGAGAGGACCGACCCTGTTATTATGCAAATCAACAGCTCATCAAGGAGCTGAAAAGCAGCACAATAAATGCAGCTGGCTGTGAATACTCACAGCTCTAATGTTAGTCTGAGAAGAGAGGCAGCTCTTTTACATTCCCCAAAGTAATTTTTAGACTAATTGCTAATCAGAATTTCAGGTTTTTACAGCCATGGCCGGACATCGTACAGATTGCATAGAGAAACCTCTCCGGATCTGCTTTGAGATGATGGGCCACTTCATCGGATCCCATCCCTGGTGGTTCCTGATCATCCCCCTGATGCTGTCGGCAGGTCTGGGAAGCGGGTTTTATCTTCTAAAGGACAAAATTTCCAACGATATTGAGGCGCAGTTCACACCTGTTGATGGACCGGCCAAGATGGAGAGAAAGTACATCCAAGAAACCTTCCCAGGAAATGACTCCATGTTTTCGAGGTTGAGGCTGAGCACAGACGGAAACTACGCAACTGTCATAGCCGCAAGCGACGGGAATATTCTGACTGTTGAGTCGCTTCAAGACATCCTCGATATAGACTTTAAAATTAGGAGTATGGTGGTGCAGTTTGACAATCAGTCATTTAGATATGTGGATGTCTGTGCTAAGGTGATTGGATCCTGCACCTCCAATGACATTCTGGACATGATTGACTACAATGCCAACAACATAGATGCTGTCAATTTGACATTTCCGTGGTTTCACTCTGATTTTAGAAGTTTTCCTTTATATTTAAGTCTGGGCAGCGTGACAATAAATACAGAGAGTTCAGTTGAAAGTGCTGAAGCCATACAGCTCCATTACTATTTAGAAGAAGACAACAAAACAAAAACTGACCTTTGGTTGGAAAGCTTCATCAATCTGATTTCAAATGAATCATCACCTCGTCTTCAGGTAAGCAGAACCTTTCTCACATTCTCCACCAATCCCATAAATCATCATCTCATTGTTAAACCAAATGGTTTCAATTTTTCTAGGTGTCATACTCAACCTCAGTGTCAATGCAGCAGGAATTTGAGAAATCTCCAGCGTCTGTCATCTATTTATTCTCCATCACCTACACCATCGCCATCGTATTTTCAATTATGACTTGTTGGAGGTCAGTAAAACATCAGCCACACATGTTACGCACTGAATTTTGGAATGCATTGTCTGTTTTTATTCGTTTTTCTTTTTTTAAGGTTGGATAATGTGCGGACGAAGGTGTGGGTGGCGTGCTGTGGGGTTTTCTCCACAGGTGTAGCGGTCCTGAGTGGTTTTGGTGCTTTGCTGTTGCTGGGCCAACCGTTCGTCATGACAGCCGCCACCTGTCCTTTCCTCATATTAGGTAGGTTCTGTTGAACATCCGGGTCCACAAGGTCCCACTTTCTAAGCACAAAGCAAAGTTAGAAGTTATTGAAAGTACTTCTTTTTTGTCACGTTTTCTTGACAAGAATCTTTTTTGTTTTCAAAATTAACCCTTAGCCCGAACCAACACTGACTCAAATGGTATCAAATAAAGCTATTCGTCAGATTTTGTGCAGTTTCCCATGAAGCTACGAAAGGTGTTTCACAACTTTTTTTTTTATTTTTTTATATTGAGGTAGTGCTTTCTAGGATCGTTGATTTATATAAATGTAATCAATTCCCCTTTAAAGAAGGAAACCTTGCAAACATAGTGCTATTGTCTTTCAAATTAGAACCAACACCCACAGTCTGTATATAAAAGATGGACGTAGCCACCGTAATGTCACACAATGGTTTGTGAACGGCTGCTTTGAAGTCTTCAGTTTGGCCTTTACCATCTTGGTCCTTCAAAATTTGAAAGATCTGACTGGAGAACCTGAGAACACCCATAACTACCTGGCAATCCCACGGTAGTCCTGTTGTAAAACACACCCTGCTTTATCGTCTATTTTACTCTCAATGGGAACAGAATTTACTAAATGAATATCCTGCTGCATTGAAGGAGACTTTAAACTACCAACTAAGGCCATTAACTCGTTAGAAAAATGTTTACTGCAGCAATAAATCCAGTGACAAGTACTGTCATTTTCTCGTAGGCTTCCATACAATCAGACTTATTTTTTCAACTAGAGGAGTCGCCCCCTGCTGCCTGTCAGAGAGAATGCACTTTTAAGTCACTTTTAGACCTATTTTTGTCTTCAGTTGATATTTTACTTCATTTTAGCATGTTATGAGAACAACTGACAGTGAGCATAGGACTTCTAGGGTCCTTGGTGATTTAGGGCCATAGGGCAGTTGCCTGCAAAGCCTGATGGGTAATCCAGACTTGCACACACCAAAATGAAGAGACTGAAGTTTAATCTTCCATTTTAAAAATCTCTTTCTTCCCCTTCTTTTTTATTTCTGAAGGTATTGGACTTGACGACATGTTCATCATGGTCTCCTGCTGGCAGAGGACCCGTGTTCTGGACAGTGTTAGTGACCGGCTGGCCGACACCTACAGGGAAGCTGCCGTCTCCATCTCCATCACCACCCTGACCGATGCTCTGGCTCTCTTCCTGGGCTACAGCTCGCCCTTCGGTTCTGTCCGATCCTTCTGCCTCTACGCCGGGATTTCTGTTTGCTTCTGCTATTTGTACGGCATCACTTTCCTGGGGGCGTGCATGGCTTTGAATGGACAGAGGGAAGCAGAGAACAAGCACTGGTTCACCTGTGCCAAAATCCCAGAGGACGAACCATCCGGGAACTCAAAAGCCTTCAGTATGTGCTGCGTTGGGGGACGCTACAATCGAATCACGGGAAAAGAGAAAACTGAGGCAATGAGTTACATTTTTGAGCGGTTCTATGGTCCATGTTTGACCCACAAATTGACGAAAGCATGTGTGTTTGTTATGTATGCAGGTTATCTGGCTGTTAGCATCTATGGCTGCTGTATCTTAAAGGAAGGACTGGACATCAAGAATCTGGCTTTGGACGATTCCTACATGATTGATTATTACAACCATCAAAGGCAGCACTTCTCTGAATTTAGCTGCAATGTGATGGTGGCAGTGAAGAAACCCTTGTCCTACTGGGACAGTGATGAAGATCTGGATTCATGCATTTCAAGTTTTGAAAGTTTGAACTTTGTGAATAGCACATTTGCTTGGTTCCTCTCCTATAAAAACCACGCTAACGCCTCAAACCTCAACATAAGCTCCCAAGAGGCTTTCTACACCCACCTGCCACGTTTCTTACAACTCAACCCAATGTTTAGACAAGACATCAATCTGACTGTAGACGGTGACATCCAGGCTTCTCGCTTTTTTGTCCAGACGCTAAACAAAGCTACGATGAAGGACATGATGACTGGGCTCAGGAAAACAGCGGAGGAATGTCCAGTGGAGCTTCTGGTGTTCCACCCTGCTTTCATCTACTACGACCAGTACACCGTGATCACAGATAGCGCCGTTCAAACCATCCTCGTCGCCGTGGTTGTGATGCTTGTCGTCTCACTCATCCTGATACCCAATCCTCTTTGTTCCATATCCGTAGCTTTTGCAATTTGCTCAGTCATCACCGGTGTTGCAGGATTCATGTCGCTGTGGGGTGTAAATCTGGACTCCATTTCCATGATCAACCTGGTCATGTGCATTGGCTTCTCCGTAGACTTCTCAGCGCACATTTCTTACTCTTTCGTCTCCAGCACTAAGAGCGACGCCAATGAGAAAGCTATGGATGCTTTGGCCCATCTGGGGTATCCGATACTGCAAGGAGCTCTGTCTACTGTTGTAGGAGTGGTGGTGCTGTCTGCGTCCGGGAGTTACATCTTTAGGACGTTCTTCAAGATTGTGTTTCTTGTGATTGTTTTTGGGCTGCTGCACGGTTTGGTGTTTATTCCAGTGTTTCTGACGGTGTTCGGGGTCTCTGGAAGGTGCCGTTAATGGATCTAAAACAATTGATGACGTGTCCGTATAATGAGATTTTTTTGGGTTAGAAGTCAGAATTTGGACACAAATTGCGAAAGTTGTGTGTTATGCTTTTTAATGTCACCTCTTTGCCTCCTTCACATTTTAAAAACCTCTAGAGCAAGAAGTAACACAAACAACAGCCCATACACTTAAAGAATAAGCTGGTCAATCTTGCAACACTGCACAGCACTCACTAATTAATGTGCAGATGTTGCAAAACAATGCCTGTGCTATTCTGAAAATTAAATATTGATATGTTTATAGTACACATATGACAGCATCATGAATAATCCAGCACCAGGAGCTGTCTGCTTAACGCTTTCAACAGAGGAAAAACATCCATACTCTCTCAAAAAGGGATGAAATACACAATAAACATTATTGAAGATAAATTTGACTTTTTTCCCACATTTTTAAAAATAGATATATCAGTATTGTGATTTTTTTTTTTGCTCTGATAATCATGATAACCTGATTCTGTTGTGCAGTCATGTACAGACACCAAAGTCACAAATGGGACTCCATTATAGTAAGTGCTTGACAGACATGTTGATTATTAGTTTTCCTAACTGTTTTTATTTTGAGAATATTTTGTTTTGTCTCTTTCCAAGTCAAAAATTCACATCCTGTTAAGAAGCCTAACGTTGACAGCGCTAGCACAGGAGATAAAGAAATCCTAATGTTTTTTCTTTTATTAAAGTTTTGAAAAACATCAAGAGCATACTGATTTATGAAAATCTTTAGTGTAGTTTAGTGGTATGGACATCTGATTTGGATACCTCCGGGGAGGCTTCCTCTGGAGGTTTTCCGAACACGTCCACCTGGGAGGAGATCCCGGGGCAGACCCAGAACCCGCTGGATGGATTATATCTCTCGGCTGGCCTGGAAACACCTCAGGATCCCCCAGGAGGAGCTGGAAAGTGTCGCCGTGGGGAGGGAAGTCTGGAATGACCCAACCCCGGATAAGCGGAATAAAATGAATGGATGGATGGATGGATGTTTAGTGTATGCATTAAATATCTGCTGTTTGTTAGATCTCACGTCATTTGTCTAATGTGTAACAGAGGTGTATGTGATGTCACGCAGTTTGGGAAATTTTTGAAAATAACAAACACACCCTAAGTTTTCATGTGGGGTTCTTTGTCTTTATTTCGGCTGCACAAATAAGAATGAAACCATTGCCATCACACTGTGGAGAGATCTACAGCAGAGAGCCATTCAGTGTGTACACAGCGTAAAAGCATCACTATACATCTATATACAAGGTTCCCATGACATCTCCACCATATGTACACAGCTACACGTGGGTAAAAGGCCAACAAACGGAATATGTTGAGTCAAACCGAAGCAAAATAAAAACTGAAAATGAGTACACTATGAAGTACAACATGCTGGTGTTCCTCTAAATATGGATTACATACACGGTTGCTGCTATTTACTTGGAAACAGACATTCACCATTTCAACAGATGTAGAAATTTTTTTACACACAATCGGTATGGAAGAGATGTCCTGCTTAGAACCAAGGATGTCGCTTTACAATTAAATTGAATTAACTTTCTTCATTTTCTTTCATAACTGGAGAAAGTGCTACTATTAACTAGCATCCATGGTGTTGTGCAAATTTAGTTTAAAAAAAAAAAAAAAAAGAAAAAAAAGAAATGTCATGACAACGGGGACAGAAGTGGCCTTTTGATTTGTCTGAATAATCTAAGAGTCTTTATTTAATTCAGTTGCAAATACAAGAACAACTCATACGCCGCCGGGAGGCTTTTTTTTTTTAGAAGCCAAACTGTTTAAATAACTTAGGCCACCCTGACAGCTTTAAAATGATGAAGCGTCCAATGTTCACTGATCACTACATAAAACACAGCTTATATTCGTCACATGCTTTTGGAGGCTTGAGCAGCAGCTTTTGTTCCATCTGTACAGGTAGCATCAAGGAAATAAATTACACAAAGAGGATATTTTCAATTTGTACACTCACCCAAAGTGCTGAGTCGTTTATACACTTCCTACTTCAAAGGAAAAGTTTATGCTTATGGTACATTCCCCAAAAGGCCACCTTTAAAAAGAAGCAACAGGGAGACGGGTACAGCAGGAGGAGAGGACGTATACGTGTCGGGTGGAGAGGCGTGACGGCTCTTTGTGCTAACTCGACTACAACAGAACGGGAATATTCGCGTGACATTTACCAGATATGAACACAAACGCTGGAAGACAACTGAGTTTCAGCTAAATTCGGGTCGCCATGACTACAAAGTAGTTCTTTGGGTTAAACGGTCCACGTCAGCACATTTCCCACGAACAGGATGAGAATCTGAGCTGACCCGGCTAAAGCAGAAACATCTTCCAACTCAACCTTAACATCAGAATCCTGTCCAGACGCTGTTCTTGTATCTGAGGTACATATTCACATTCACGTGTTTACTTCCTCTAATAAAGTGACTAATAAAGTGACCTGAGCGAGATCCTTAACATTAGGCATTGAACCCTTCACCACATACGATAAACCTGCGTGACGAACACCTGCTTAGTTCTCAACATGGGAAAGATGTTTGACATAACAGCACTACTTATCTGAGAATAACGGTGGGATTCCATGAGGATGTGACACTCTTCTACATGAGCGTTTGTCAGGAGACGTTGTGAGTCCATCCCTCCTTCCATCACCTCCTAAAAACTAAGCCCCTCCCTCCCCGTCGGTGCCTCCAATTGTTCCCGCTCCTGCCGGTTTCATCTGGTCTCCAGCGTTTTGCCCTCGAGGACCAGCTGAATCTCTTTGGCGTCCAGCGTCTCGTACATGAGCAGAGCGTCTGCCAGGTTCTTGTGCTCCTTGGCGTGAGACTTCAGCAGGGCTTTGGCGCGCTCGTACGACTCCTACAGACGGCAGGAGAAAGGATTGTCAAGATGTGATTTCAAGAGCCGAGCTAGTTTGGGCTTTATGTCTATGATGGATCACAGACCTTCAGTAACACTCGGACTTCGTGCTCCACAGCAGCTTGCGTCTCTGGACTTTGCGCCGTCATGTCGGTGTAGGTCATCACACCCAGCTGAGAGACACGGAGGGAAGTTGACACACAAATAAATGCAGAAATTTGAACACGGCAGCTTCCATCTTTCATTTTTACACCAGCTTACCTTTTCACACATTCCAAATCTGGTCACCATCAGCTTTGCAATCTTGGTGGCGCTATCAAAGTCACTCGATGCTCCTGGAGAAGAAGAAAAACATCCTCTTAAATTCCAGCTTGTGCTGCATTTGTCCTCATGTAAGCAGATGTTTTTTTTCTACATTCTGCCTCCTGTGTTCACTCGCTGGCCTTTCAGGGACTCTTTCGTACCAGTTGTGATGTACTCGTGGCCGAATATAATCTCCTCTGCTACCCGGCCGCCCATGCTGACGTCCATCTGGGCCAGAAGCTGAGAGCGAGTTTCACTCCACCGATCGTTCTCTGGGAGCATAGACACCTGGGAGGAAGTGGTGAAGACAAAAAAAAAAAACATTAGAGGATGTACAGACTTGATGTTACTGTCATTTATGCAGAGGAAAAGGTTTCCTTACGTGTCCCAGACTGGGGCCTCTGGGCATGATGGTGGCCTTGTTGATGGGCATGGCATCTTTGGTGTAGTACGCTACGATGGCATGACCAGACTCGTGGTATGCTGTGATGAGCTTGTTCTTCTTGTCTATCTCTGCGCTCCGTCTCTCAGGGCCTTAAAGAAAAAGACAAGAGGGACAAATATAATAAATACAACAGAAAGTACTGACAACTAAAAACATCCTAACAGTTAAGGATGAAGCATACGTATCTTTACAGTCGTTTTCTTAAGCACAGCTCTACTCACCCATGAGGATTTTGTCTTTAGCAAACTCTAGCTCCTTCATCGTGACCATGTCTTTGCCATCAACTGCTGCCTTAAGAGCTGCTTGGTTGACCAGATTTTCCAGGTCAGCGCCAGAGAAGCCCACTGTGCCCCGGGCGATGATATTGGCCTCGATGGCTGCAGACACAACATAAAACATCAACATCAGATCTCTGGACTGAGCTGCTAGCTACTGTTTCAGCAAAGCAAGCAGTGGAAACTCTAAATAATCGGCTAAATATTCAGAATGTGCTCTGCAAGGGTATACTGAGGTGTGTATTATACGGTTAATACTATATACTGTATACCATAATCATGCATTTGAATGGAAAAAAAAACAATGATTCCTGATAAGAGGATGCTGTTCTCACACCTGGATCCACTTTGATCTTCTTCAGGTACCAGTTGAGAATCTCGGTGCGTCCTTTCACATCTGGCTTGGGTACCGTCACCTGCATGTCAAAGCGTCCTGGGCGGATCAGGGCGCTACGAGGAGAGATCAGTTAGTCAGAAAAAAAAACACTGACACACTGTAAGCGGCACAAACTGGACTACAGCTGTACTCCATTGTCTGTACTGACCGCAACAGCTGCGACTGAAGATCGCAAACCTTGACATTTCTAAATGTGCACTGTGAACTCTGACATTTTCACTGGCAATAGGAAGTAACAACGAGGTCCAGCGTACTTATCTAGAGCCTCTGGGAAGTTGGTTGCTCCGATGATGATCACGCCTTCGTTTGGTTTGAACCTGTGAAATAATAACATCCAAGCAGGTCAGAGTCTTGGTGTGTGTGTTTGTTCAAAATATGAGCTGTGAAAAAGCAATTTATTCATTTCTGTGTTGACCAGAATTATATCGTATGGATGCGTCTGTGTTTAATGAGAAATGAGGCACAATTTTGCATTTTTATAATCGAGTGCAGGAAATGAAATAGATGAGTTAAATTTTTGAAATCCTGTCTTTATTTGTTCCAGTTCTATCAATATATGAAAGACGTTTCCTGATTCTGTATCATCACAACCACAGGTTCTGTCTCCCCACCCGACATTTTGTTTGTGATAACAGACTGAATGAAGCTTTTTGGGAATGAAAATCAGCTACATGCACGCCCAGCATGTGAAAATGTGACTCATAGTATTAGAGCTTACCCGTCCATCTCAGCAAGCAGCTGGTTGATAGTCTGTCTGGAGTAAGGGTGCATGGGAGACTCTATCCTTTTGCCACCAACACTGTCCAGTTCATCAATGAAGATCACACAGGGAGCGTTGCCTTTAGCCTCCCCTTGGAAAAGGAGCGGCACAAACACAGAAATAAACACACAGTATTCAACAAAATGACACATATTATAATGTTATGGTTTCAATTTTCACGGGGTCTTGTTCACGAGTGAGGGGCGGATGGAGCGTGAGATTGATAGACGGATCGGTGCAGCGTCTGTCGCTGTACCGGACCATCGTGGTGAAGAGACAGCTGAGCAAGGGGGCAAAGCTCTCAATTTACTGGTCAATGTACGTTCCTACTCTCACCTATGCTCAAGAGATCTGGATAATGACCAAAAGAACAAGATTGCGGATACAAGCGGCCGAAATGAGTTTCCTCCACAGGGTGGCCGGGCGCTCCCTTACAGATAGGGTGAGGAGCTCAGTCACGCAGGAGGAGCTTGGAGGAGAGCCACTGCTCCTTCACATCGAAAGGAGCCAGCTGAGGTGGCTCGGGCATCTGTTTCGGATGCCTCCTGGACGCCTCACGGGGAGGTGTTCCGGGCGCGTCCCACCGGGAGGAGGCCTCAGGGGAAGACCCAGGACACGTTGGAGAGATTATGTCTCTCAACTGGCCTGGGAACGCCTAGGGGTACCCCTAGAAGAGCTGGAGGAGGTGTGTGCGGATCGGGAAGTCTGGGCGGCTCTGCTAAGTCTGCTGCCTCCGCGACCCAACTCCGGATAAAGAGGAAGACGATGGATGGATGGATGGATGGATGGATGGATGGATGGATGGATGGATGGATGGATGGTTTCAACTTTATAAACACAGCTGGCTTCTTAAGAAGACAAAAGAAAAGGAAAAGGTCCATCCGGATGTTAAATGTAAAATAAAACTCACTGAAAAGGTTCCTGATGCGACTGGCTCCAACTCCAACGAACATCTCATCAAACTCCGACCCAGACGCGTAGTAAAACGGTACGTCTGCCTCTCCTGCCACGGCTCTGGCCAGCAGAGTCTTTCCAGTCCCCGGAGGACCAACAAGTAGAACACCTGAAGCAAAGAGAGAAAAGGAGATAAGAAATACAGACGAGTGATACCAAAACAGAGCTCTGAATGAAGCTGTGGCACTGCTCATGTTCGCCCACCTTTTGGCAGCTTTCCTCCCAAGGCCGTGAACTTCTGCGGGTTTTTCAGGAACTCCACCACCTCCTGCAGCTCGTTCTTAGCTTCTTCCACCCCTTTGACATGCTCGAATGTCACGTTTTTCATCTGCACAGGGTCCACGGCTGAGTCCAGGCCTGATGTGGTTCGGAACCGCACTGTCCAAAATGGTTAGATTAAAGTTCGAGCAAAGCACGGTTAATCAACTCACACACAAACACTGCCTGTTACCGAGTTACTCATTAACCACGTCTGATGGCACATATTAGTGTTCTATTAGTGTTCCAGCACTGCAAGTTACAATTCACTGTCGATGCCTCACAGAATAGCAAATGGTTCAGTTATAGCACACTGAGTTAGCCCACAAACTCTACGGTGCATTGTTAACACTAATATTTATATACATGTTAAAATATTAGTATTTTCAAGGCGGCTTTATATAATAACACTATATTAGAAAACAAGGAAGGAAAAGGAGCCTTTACCCGATATGAAGGGGGTTTTGGAGATGCCATAGAGCCCCAAAACAAGCATCACCAACAGGATTAGACGAGTCCTCCTCAGAGAGTCTGAACAGCCAGAACAGGACAATTAACCATCAGCACCGTCTAACGTGTAGTAATGGAATAACTTAATGTGTTTGTGTTCAAATTTGCCTTGAGTGCGCTGTGTCAGGGCTTGAGCTTTCAAGAAGCCCTCAGCGAAGCCCCGCTTGAAAGCGTCGTGCTGTCCGTCGGGTATGTTTTTGCTCTTCAAGAGGCTGTCGAGACTTTCAACTTCTACCCCTTTGTCGCGTATAAGAAAGCCCTGCAGAACAAAATAAAACACAGGTCAGCAGTGCTCACAAAGCAAGAACACGCCTTCACCATTATTCTCAAGGCGATCGCACTGGAGACACTTTGCAGAGCTTAAAGTTTGAGATCAACTGGAAGTAAAGTCCAGCTTCTACCACTTACTAGATTTATATAGATCATTTTTAAAAACCACACGACTGAATTCAGCCACAAAATGAAAAGTCTACACACGAAATGTTCCTTATTTTTGTATCCAAAACATCTAATGGAAGCCAAGTCCATCTCTCTCTTATTTAAAAAAAAACAAACAACTGACATCACAGCAGAAATAAATAATCACATTGATGTGGCGTCATTCCTCCTCAGGAGCTGATTTTTTTATTTTTAATGATTGAACTTGTGTTTTGAAAATGTACCTTTAACAAGCTTTCTACTTTATGCATGTTGAGGCTCGACAGTAATAAGCACGCTGTTCACACCAATAAAATACAGGTTTGGTGAAGCCCGCTGAGCTTGTGAACACAGTCAACTATGCACCTTCATAAAAGATGGTGTGAAGCCTTCAGATTCCACGGGTCGTTCGAAGGGTGGCTGCAGTCGTCTGGTTTTGCTCCTCAAAGTTTTAAAGCCTCTGCTCTGAACCAGCACTGGAAAAGATTAAGCAGATCAGCAATGAACCATGTTTCCTTACAATCCACATGAACAAAGAGAGAGTAGTCGCAGTTCATAATGTTTGTCTGCACTGTACTAGATTAGACTACTGGACTACAGATTAAACTACTTGCAAATGCTGCTAATCCACAGTTACCTGGCCAATATTGTAGCTCTGTGCAGACAGACTGAAGAGCGGAAGGGTGCTGCCTTGAAAAAACTGGCATGGGACCCGATGAGAAGCCTGGGGAAAGAGAACGAGGTACAACCGTCCTTTTCAATTATGAGATACCTTCAGGGACTTGCTGGTTGTTAAGACAGTCTTCTAGTAGCGTGTATTTAATAAAAGTCTGGCAACGTCAGAAGAAGTCATGAACCTGTGTTGAGTGATAAACAAGAAGGTGCTAATGTAATAAGATGAGCACCAGTGGCAGACACAGCTGTTTAGGGGCTATAAGGTAGAGTATGAGAGGCCTTTTCATAAGCTAGATGCACATCCTCACCATGCTTATTGTGGAAAAAGGAGTGTGTGGAGAGATGTGAGCTCCTCCAGGCTGTCTGATCACCGAGTGGAAGTGGCATCTCCTGTGGGCTCAAGCGGGGCAACACACAGTTCACCAGCTCATCCAGCTGCCGAGTTCCCAGGTCTGATAAACCAAGCTCCCGCAGGTTCCACAGAGACTGCACACACAGACACACACATTACCCGTACAGTTCTGCACATGAGGTGTGTGTGAGTCCATAAAAGAAGTACAGAGAAGGAAAAAAAATGTTGCAAAAAGAAATATCAGAAGTATGGAAATATTTCAGCTACAGAAAGGAAGGAAAGGATGTTGACTTAAAAAACACTGTCAGCAGCGTCTTCCTTTTTCAAAGCAACTTGTCTGACAATTTAAATCGACTCCACAAAGCTCCGTATAACGACGGCAAAAGCCAGATTTAGAAGCGATCCAAAGCAAAAACCTGCATGAGAATGTGCGATTACATCCTGTACGTCTCCATGAAAACAGTTTTGTTCATTGCTTATTTAATCTTTGCATATGTTGTCTTTTTGTGAGTAGCACAAAGGGACCACATCTGTCCTTTATTATAGAATCTTGTGATGCATGATGATAATTAAAATAAATCTTTAGCAAGGAACCTACTGTACATCTAGGCAACTTAAGCACAGTGAAGCAAAGATATTAATACACCGATTAACCACACAATCAGACAGTCTGCAGCTTCTTGCCAGTTTTCTTTCCTGACTCCGGCTGCAGCAGCTCTGTTGCTTACAACCTGTATTATAGTCTAAAAGGAATATGCAGCGTTAGACCTGTCTGTTGGTCATTTGTTGCCAACGCCGCCCCTTTCAT